ATACTGACAGGTTGCGAAGACGGGGACGAAACAAGTTGTTGGCTTCTAATTGTGTCACTATTAGTACGATGTATTTACTACATGCCATTCCACTTCCCGAAATACGCATCAGTCGGAAAGCGCACGTTAAATCTCCAAAGTAAGTAAGTACTTCCCGTTATTAGTACAGTAAACTACGGTTAAAACGAACACGCTTATAACGAACTGACGGATATAAAGAACTTACTTTTTGGTCCCGACTATTTGCCGTAGTTATGCTGTATATATGCTTATAACGAACTACGGCTATAACGAACTAAAATTAGTAGTCCCTTTGAGTTCGTTATAACCGTACTTTACTGTATTACTATATTTATAATCCCAAAATAAGTGAGTAAATGCTTTTGACTTCCCCATTCACGAGATTAATATACGAGCTTGTATACCTTGTTTGATCTCATTGTAGTGTAAGTTTTGCAGCTATGTTGCTGCATAAATTGTAACTTAAACGGTTTATTCCAACAACAGATAAAGTGTGTTGAAGTTTTGGCATGTTTATATGGTGTCATAAGCTATGATCTTTGGTCAAACGTGTTTTGAATTTGTAAGAAATGTACAAAACTCTATTTCAAGACTCACATATATGTTCCTTTTTTATGTTCATTCAGAAAAGACTTATTCATATTCATATTTATTGTAATGTGAATTTTAAACATATGTTTTTAACTTTCTCAATTATGTTTTGCCATTTTACGCAATATTTGTTCCAACATCAGGTGTAGACACTTGTCTGTCAGAAACACAACCTTGCGGTTTCTTTGCCGAACGCAAATTATAATCTCAGAAGATAACTAAACTGTAATTATGAATATACCGATGCTGGTTAAAGAATGCACTTGAAAACTAATTCACATGTACTCATAGAACAAACGCATACTATTTCCAATTGAGAATTATTCATAACGTTCTACTGGTTAACACATGTGAACACATCTAAATGTTGAACATTAGATCAATCGTGAACTGTTACTCAAATAGTATTTATCATCCATTGTAGCACGGGTTGCGAGCGGTACCTTTGATCTAACCCGTGCTGTATCATGGTAGTAAGAGCACGGTTTGTTAAAGATCATTACCATTGGCTGATGCCAAGATCAGCAAGCCCCGCCTACTAGCTTGAGAAATTTCAAACTTACAATGTTTCTTTAGTGTTGTACACAGTGTTCAAGGGTATTAAGGTAAATAAACAACAAAAAACAATAGAAATGTTTATAACTTAATTAAAAGATTACAATGTAACTGTCAAACATAAAAACAACTGGACACAGAACGCATTTTGCTAAATTCGGAAAATTAATAGTTGACATTTCTAATGTGCCTTTGAAAATTCCAAAGTTTACACTTGATTTAACAATTAGATAACACCCTGGATGCCAGAGGGACATATATGTCCTTCCTCTACAACCCTCACTTTGAAGTCGAATAAAATTCAACATACATCATGCACACTAATACACATCACAGTTTTGAATAAGGTGGGAGATTCCCTGTTCTGTGATATTATTCATTGGCTTTTTAGGCCAAGCAAAAGTACAAAAAATGACCTCTGAAAATGAGGTACTTCGTAAATGTCGCCATGTTTTACACATTACTAAATCACCACTCGCCGCGTTATTTACAGCATGTTCTGGAATCTAAATTTCGGATATTTACTCCGAGAAATGAATTTCAAAAATAGCATATTAGTGATGATGGGTATCTGTCCTTTATGAAATCACCAATGATCATTCAAAAACGTCTCCGATAACCCTAGAATCGTTTAGAATGTTTTGGAAAATACGCAAACACGAACGCCGAAGTGAACTTTCCGCCATATTGGATAGTGTTTACAAAATCACGTTTCAGGTACACCGGTTATGAGGCGCCTGTAACATCCCGTATATTCCAAACTTTGCTGCGATACACACATCCTTGAATTCCTCATACATTTAAGAATCGAATGAACAATGGTCTTTGTCACCAATACGAAGTGGCTGGATGAAATCAAGTAATATAAGTCAGGTGTGAAAACGAACGCTGTGCTCGAAACACTGCACTTGTTTGAAGTGTAAACAAAGCAAAATACAGATTTTACACACTGTAGCATTTTCTCTATTTTGAGCTATCCATTCGTCTATTCGTTCAAAATATTGGCTCAACATTTGCAGAATAGTCATGGGAAGAGAATCGTAGGAAGAAATAGGGAATTTAAAATAGATACATTGACAACTTCTGTTGAAAATATCAAATCATTGCAAAGTTACCGTCCTGTGTGACGCCATGACTGACGCAAAATCACGCACAACGACAACGGTATTTATCGGAATTTCTGACTATTTCGGTTTGTTTCAATGAAAATTATAACAACAAATAACAGTACATAGATTGTCAGAATGTTTCTGATTACTTACATGTCACATTTATGTAAATACGATCCCTGAATCAACGAAAGTCCCCTTGTAAAATCCCGCGTACTGTTGACAGTGAACACGCCATTTTGTAAAAGTCGGTCACAGGTAGTGATGTCATACGTCAACATTGTTGTACATATTTGGTAATTTCTTTGAGGTGAAGGTCTTTGAATGAGAGTGCACACGATCATTGTACCATGCTGTTTACAGTTTCAGTTATGATGCAGATTTTGCATATCTTTTATACATTTTTTCACACAATTAGATTCTAATTTCACTTTGGACATTTGTCAATGTTCAAAATGATATCATACGTAAATATCGGCCACAACATGTATGAAGGAACCTTGATAATCTCCTGTTTGTTTGAACATTGTTTACATAACAATTGATGGGTTTTTAGTGTCGCATACGATATTTCTTTCCTTTGGACAAGTGTTACAAGAAGTGTAAATGTAACTGCAGCATGTACGCATTTCTTGGGATGTGCAATAGTCAATATTATAAGTTCATATTAGCAATGTCCATGAATAGCCGTTTCATTTTATTTTATAACTAAAACTGAATATATTACTTTTACAAAAAAAATTCGGTAAAATATATGCACACATTTCTGAAAGAACTGTCTTGGTCTTGGAACTGTTTTTGATGTCGTTTGATACACAGAACAGTGATATCTAACGATTCGCCAGGTGCGCGTTAGTCACACACATTTTACGAATTATTCCTTTCGTTTTGCATTATATAATCAATGGGTTCATTCTTTTTTCAATATTGTGATCACGGGATATTAAACTGTTTACTTAATTTCTCCAGAAATTTTAAAATGTATAAAATAAAATCCATGCCAGGTACCCCGTTGGTTCAACCTTATACGATTATCCTGATAATTCTATACCAATATGATAGTGCTTTCTTCGCATCTTTTATTGTTTCATTTTGAGACGAGATAAAGAGAAATACTAACATGATAATGAACAAATATATGTCCAATACTGAATATAATTTTGGTTGTTTTGAAATATTCTTTTGTGAATTTCATAACGTAAATTGATGCCAAACAGGTGCGTGTCCTGTCCAATTAAGATACACGATAAACTATCTAATTGTTTACATATTCAAGACATTATTTACTTGGTGAAAGCAGTAATTTTATGTTGTGTCGAAAAAGCGTCAAATTCCGTTTTACACATCGAGATTTTCCAAACCATGAACGAAAATTATGGGAGATATATATAAATCAAAATACCAGTGTCGTCTTTCTCCGATGTTATGAAAGACATAAAACCAGCCATGACGTCAAAATGGTGTTATTTTGGGGTATTTCATTACATTTGATGATAAAGCTAGTGCTCCATTAATAATGGTGCACCATAAGTCAAATTACACTTACACACTCAGGAGAATGTTGGAATATAAGGACTAAGTTATAGGTTAGATAGGGCCATCCATTTCTCTATTACCTCTTTTTTATGAAGTACGATTTCATCATTTCTTGTGGGTTTTATTTATAAGTAAACGTATAAAGTTTCAATATCGATATTTGTGTTGGAATAGTTTGGTTCCTCGTGAACGAAACACAACGAAAATACATTGTCCTTACCCACAGCTAATTCTCACCAATTGACCTGAGTTACAATAACCTAGTGCTAAGCATAGCGGAGTTATGCCCCCTTTTCTTTGTACGCTTGTAACCTCTCGGTCGCCTTTTGACGTCATAGAGAAAAATCAGTTTTCGTCATTTACGGCATGCTATTTTTGGCATTGAATGTATGTCGTTACACATACGCATATAACTCCATTTGATATATAGTTATGTCGTTCAGATATTAGGCAGTATTTTGTTCGCTGACAGTTTCCGTAAAGCTTCGAAATAAAAAAAATCGTCGCACAGTACTTTTATCGATGTACGATAAAAAGCGGAGAAATTTACTGTTTTTCAACGCAGAATAAATTCTCGGACAACCCTTAGAAGCGGATTTCTTTAAAACCGGTTTAATATTTGCAGTTTACTTAACACTATCAAATAGGAAATTTAATATTCTCCACCTCCATCCAGTGCCGCGTGAGCGCAATTCTCGCACAACCTTCACTTTTCCGATCTTAGGAAAATGTGCGTCAGAAAAAAAACTCGGCATCCAGAGGGTTAAAAGTTAAACGTTAACGTTAAAAGTTAACGTTATATTAAACGTCACTAAATTTTACACAAACTCGCTCAATTTTGGAATGACCGTCGCAACCCGTGCTTCAAGTCACTTACAACACACCTAACTACTCGTTGTTTGGGCAACTCGGTCCTTTTGTCTGTCAATCAAATGCCAAGCCAAACCGTGCTCTTAGTCTTACTGCCCAAACAACTCGTCTTGGTGTGTTGTAACTATAACAAACTGGCTCCCACAGGAGATTATCGCTTGGATGAAATCAAGCGATATCTACACTGTAGATATCGCTGCAATGAAATTACATCACAATGCTTTGCAGACCATTGTGACGTCACTGGTTACCATGACGTCACACTCAACTGACATCACTAATAGCTCTGCTACTGAAGCTGTTTCCAGGGGCGGTATTCACAAAGCTTCTTAGAATTTTCTTAAGCCTTAAGAATTCTTAAATCCACAAAGAAATCTTAGTTTCCCTAACAACCAACTTAAGTTTTAAGAAATTCCTTAAGTCATATTCACAGAGCTTCTCAGTGCTTAGTTCTTTGCTTAAGTTTAAGATACCTCATGAGCTTACTTAAGTCCTTAAGAATTTTCTTAAGACATCTAATATGGCTGCCATAGGTATTGTACAAACCACCGCTAGACGAGATGTACTGCAAATATATTCTGACAAAGAACTAATCAGAAGATACAGGTTAAACAAAAGTGGTATTGAATATGTGACTGGTTTAATTGCTGATAAAATATGTCCTAGCACCTCTCGTTCTCATGCCATGACAGGAACTGAAAAGGTTGTAGCAACGCTACGTTATTTCGCTACAGGCAAAATGCAATTATGCAACGGGGATGACTTGGGTCTTTCCCAATCGTCGGTCAGTCGGGCGATAGGGCAGACAGTGTCAGCTTTGTCCGACGCCGAGATAGCATCCCAGTTCATTCACTTTCCGACAACACAGGGTTGCATTCGTCGGAATCAAGCGGCGTTTTACAACATCGCTCACTTCCCTGGCGTTGTTGGAGTGATTGATGGATCGCATGTGCAGATTATTGCACCATCTGTCGACGAACCCTCATATGTAAATCGTAAACAGTACCACAGTATAAACACACAGCTTGTATTCGATCCAAACAATATGATAATTGACCTTGTTGCGAAGTGGCCAGGCTCGACACACGACTCGAGAATACTCACCGAAAGCGGGCTTCATATTTTATTTGAACGACACATCGTGCCAACCGGATGTCACCTACTTGGAGATAGTGGCTACCCCTGCAGAAACTGGCTGCTTACGCCGTACCTGAGACCAAATCCTGGCTCACAGACATCCTACAATCGGTAATATTCTCCTACATTCGTGAACACGCAATCGTAATGAGAGTTATCCCCCTTCAAAATTACAAAAGTGAGAATTGGTTGTTGTGAAAAGTTTAAGTGTTCAAATGTGAAAAGATATTTGGTTGTGCATATATATATCGAAAGTGAACATTAAGAAATTACCCATATAAAAATATGAAATATATTTAATGACAGATAAGCAAGAAAAACATTTATGTTTAAAAAAACATAAAAGATATTCTAAAAATATATAGGTCAATGTGAATCACTTTTTACAAAGTATAAAAAAGCCTAAATATTTTAGTCATTACATCATGTGACTAAAACATCTGTCCATTCACTTAACAGACTGGATAATCGTTATTGGAGTTCAAAAGGGCTTAGACACTTCACAATAATTATTGACTACTCATGTTCAATCACTGAGTGATGAAATAGAGCATAATAATGTTTGGATTTCATTATTATTATAAATAAAATGGACAGATTTTTTACTCAATTTGTAAGATAACTGAAACAAATTTGTGGAAATTCATTATGGAACACACTGACTGTAATACACACATATCTGTAAATTGTTGTGTGTGTGTGTGTGTGTGTGTGTGTGTGTGTGTGTGTGTGTGTGTGTGTGTATTAGACGGGTTCTGAACTTGTTTTTCAGAGCACATAAAAGGACCCGGAGTGTCGTGGAAAGAGGTATAGGCCAGCTCAAGAGACGGTTCCATGTCTTACATGGAGAGATTCGCCTTTCTCCAATTAAGGCATGTAAAATCATAACATGTTGTGGAATTCTGCATAACATCTGCAAGATAAGGAATATCCCATTACCTGACAGTGAGTCCAATGATCCGGATGAAGACATGACAGCCCCCTACAGAGAGAGAGATATTCCTGGCCACAACTTGACCTTCAGGAATCACTTTGCAAACACTCACTTTCAGTGTGAGTGATAATTCTTCTTTTAATTGAGTAAAACCACTATTTAATGAATTATATTCAACAACAAAAAATTTCAGTAAAAAAACAGTTTATTTTAACAAATAAGAGTATAAGAATCAGTTGATAAGGTTTACCTTTTTCAAAAATAATTCACAAACAATTTATTACAACTGGTTAATGAATTTAATATTGTAACTATAATTGTCAAATATTATATATAATTTGTGAATCTCAAGGATTCTTTAAAAAATGCTCAAGGGTTCAATTGCAATGCATTTTCCCAGTTTACTTACCTGGTATATGAAAATACATTTATCTTCTTGTAAGAAACATCTTATGACAGACAGATTTTATTGTAGTAAATTCAAAAGAACGATAGTACATAAAGTCTTCAATACATAATCATTGTTGAAAGTTAAACACGTTTAAATTCTTCCTGCATTTCTTATACATATTTCAGAAATTTAGCAAATACATGTTGTAATACATATCACAATTTCTTGGAGTAACTGGCCCTTTTTGTCATATCAAATGCAGTGACACAGAATAAGATATTCATCCTCACTGGCCACTGGCCATAGATAACAATACTGTTTAGCACTGATAAACATACCTGTCAGGTGATAGTCTCAACAGACGGAGCAAGTACTTTCTACAATTAGTGACAGGCACCCCATAATGGACATCTTCCAGTTTCGCGATAAGTAACACAATATGATGACTAGTACCCTATTCCTAAAATAGATTAACAAAATCTTTTGTGGATCATTTTGACATTATCCTGAACTGTTTGCCTCCTTGTTGTGGGAACAATATTCTTATAAAAATATGAAAGGCATTCAACACAGATACACAATACTGTTCAATGAAATACTTAACTGGAAAAAGTGTGTTACAAGCTTAGTCAGCTAAGGTCTTACATTTTATTGATTTTATCCATATCATTGGCACCCAAATACGAAGATTTTGAACCCTGAAATGCAATGTTGCTGTAAGCAGAAGTAAAACATGAGAATATGGTTGAATGAAAACACATTCAAATTATGACATGTCATCAATGTACCTATTGATAGAAATGACATTTCACACACTGTAACCTCACACATTAACCAATATTATATTATTGAAGATAAATTTAAACTGAAAAGGAGCATGGTTCTGTCAAAATAGGTTTCAAATCTTTCTCTTCAAAGAATACATTACATTTTGAAAACATGGTAAACTCTCTGGCCTTAAAAAGTGATATGCATACATGGTATAGATATAAATTTTATTCATTCTGCAGTTTTTGAAGTTGAATTTCCATAATTTTCTTCTTAAGACTTAAACAATCAGTTTCAAGTTTAAGTTTCTTGTAGAGTAGCTCATCATAGCTTTCCCCCAACAGGAAAGTTTGTCGCGAGGACTTTGGCTCCTGGACTGTGCTCCATCCTGCTGGTCTCTTCATGGATCCCTTTGCTGAGGAGGCGGTGTCTGGCACTGATGGTTCCGGCTGTAAAGGCACAGACACTGTTGATGCAGTAGGGACAGCTCCTCCCATGGCCTGGAGTGTCTGCAAGTCAAGTGCTGCCATGTCACTGTATTCACTGTATATAAATGGACAGAAAATGTTTTAGTCATTGTTGTTTTTGAGTATCTATGTATCTGAATAGGGTAAAAATATGAGGTAATAATCAGTTTCAAACACATGGAGTATCAATAATTTTTAGTGATCCCTTCAAATACTTTTCACCACAATCTTGCACTTTGCAGGATTTGTTTAGGAAGATAATCAAGATTGGTTATTCTCTGTTATTGATATATAATTTAATATGGATGCTTTTATAGTAATGTGTATGACCACTAATACACAGGAGGTACTTTGCTAACATAATAGTTTTTCATAGCAAATCATTTAAGTAGAGTTATGCTATATGAATGATTATACTCACTACAAGGGCAAGGGAATACATCAGTAGAATTACCTTGCATTAACTGTGTCAGAAAGGCTGACCACCTGTAGGAGGGATGTGTCCATGGCTGATGGGATTCCAGATATGGATACATTATCCTGCCCCAGAATATCCCACACTACCTCGGATGTGGCACTCAAAGTAGGGCATGGTGATGGACCACCACCTGTCGAAGTGAAAATTATTTTTACTTACATCAGAAAAATTGAGAAAGTTTTATTCCGAATCAATGTGTTAAATAATACTAAAGTAACAATTGAAGACAGCCTAAGAATTGTATATACATATGTAAATTCAAACTTTTAAGAATTGATTATACACTGTATGGGACACCAAAATGTACTTAAAGACACCAAATACAAATATTTTTACTTGAAAGCTAGAATAAACAATAATTGTAACACATTAAGATTAAATGTATCTCAGTAATTACCTGTGCTGATAACACCTTGCTTGTACCTTGCAATTTCTCCCCTGGCTTTACTTTGGATGTTATGCCATTTCTTTTCCACCTCCTCGGGGGCTCTGATGCATCCTATGATTTACATAAAAATATTCAATTCTCAACTGTGTAATGTAAATTTCAGAAATGAACGAATAGGTACTGGATGTGACACTGTAATATAACTGATAACCTGTACAATAACATTTATTTTTTTCTTTCCCTGAAAATAAATTTTATGTTCAATAAAATATAGATCTTATACAATACAATCTAGTTCTATCCAAAAAAATCCTTCCGATTTTATGCGCGTTGCTCCTGTGAAAATTTGCAAAATACTAAAATCTTGAATAACAATAGAATATTGAACATTATTTGAATCTTAATATATTTCAATACCAAAAACTATCTTTATGGTCTGCCGTACCTGGAAAGGCTGCGTTGATCGTGTGGGTCAACTCCACCCACTTTTCCTTTTTCTTTTGAGCTGTCACGCCTGCCCCAAACTTTCCTAATAAAACCGCTTTGTTTTCGTCAACAAGTTTCGTCAGGAGCAGGTTTTGGTCCTCAGACCAGTTGGGTTTTCGCTTTTTGTCAGTCATGTTCGCTGGCTGCCGTCGATATTCCCGCCGATCGAAAATAGGTCGTCTGCCAAAACTTTTTACTTTCGCGTTTTCAACACTGAAGAGTCGTGTTTTGTTGCTATTTATAGATAAGGGAATGTCCAAAACGTCACTCGAAAGGTGTTAAGAATATTCTTAGTCAAAACTTTACATCCCAAGATGCAACGGGGTAGACTAAGAAAACTCTTAGATATTATACTAGTACTTTGCTAAGAATCATGCTTAGACTGTTTGTGAATTGATACTTAAGATTTTTTCTTAACTAAGAATTTTTTAGAAAACTTAAGTCAATTTCTAAGAAAATTCTAAGAAGCTTTGTGAATACCGCCCCAGTACTTTTTACACTGAAGACACTGCTAATTACTGTCTACAAACCGAAAAAGTTGAAAGAATGATGTTGGATGATAAATAAAATCTCACCCTCGTGTCTTTTGATATCAAATATATCAACAATCGTTGATAAAAGTGGCAAAAATCCCCCGCAAGCCTCGGAATTTTTCCACTTTTATCAACTCGTGTTGATATATTTGATATCAAAAGACACGAGGGTGAGATTCTCTATATGTACTTACATCTGAGGTACCACTTAGGTACCAGCTTTTCGTACCTTAACATATGCACATCTTTTTTGGCACGAAAAACACCTTCCTGCACCAAAACATGAGTTGATAACATTAATGTTTGGTTTCACAGTTCAAGCATCGTCTCACAAAACGCTAATTTCATTATTCGATTACACTCAATTATACTGGAGAAACGTTTTTGCTTAACTTGTGTCTTGTGTCTCATCGATCCTTCTCATAGCGTCCGTATATGCACGTTAAGTGTGGAATTAATCCAAATTACCTCAGCTTGCTTAATTGCCCCCTGTGTAATTGCAATCAAGTAGGTGTTGCGTAATCAATCAACCATTTGCCCTTAATTAGCTGTCCTGAGCTTTTAGCTGTAGTTAATAGCATACCGTTTCATTGATAACTTATGCATTTGGTGAGGCTAATTAACAAAACCCATTTATTTTCTTTGAACTTCCGTTAACATGTTTGACCTAAAATGCTTCCAGTATACTTTTGTAAGATATGATAGTGTCGTGTCCCTCACAAAAAAGGAAATAAAGTTATAACATATCGCCATATTTTAATGAAAAATACTATTAACACGTCCCATTTTAATTCTGGAAACCCAAAAGTCCAGAAACTCTACGCTCTTTGCCCAGTCTCGGTTAAAGGTATTTACAAAATTAAACATGCCGTTTTCATGGGAACATACCAAGGAAGAAAAAATGAAAAAAAAATTGTTTAAAAACTCAATATTTAGACTATGTCGCCCATGGGCCTGCCCATGGGCGAAGTGTGGCCCATGGGCCTGCCCATGGGCGAAGTCTGGCCCATGGGTAGGCCCATGGGCAGGCCCATGGGCGAGGACATGTTCCTTTACTTAAAACTCATGATTTTGTTTCGCAAATACATTAAATGTATTTATTGAAGTATCATGACACAAAATTTAACTCATTTTAACTTAATTCAACGATTTTATAGCGATATTGAAATATTTCGCCCATGGGCGAGAAAAAGGTTTGGCCCATGGGTAGGCCCATGGGCAGGCCCATGGGCGAGAATATATTCCTTCACTTAAAACTCATGTTTTTGTTTCGCAAATACATTTAATGTATTCATTCAAGTATCATGACACAAAATTAAACTAATTTTAACTTAATTCAACGATTTTATAGCGATATTGAAATATTTCGCCCATGGGCGAGAAAAAGGTTTGAACATGTTTCTTTACTCAAAACTCATGTTTTTCTTTCGCAAATACATTAAATGTATTTATTCAAGTATCATGACACAAAATTTAACTAATTTTTACTTAATTCAACTATTTTACGGCGTTATTAAAATATTTCGCCCATGTTTTCGTCAGTCCCTTTCAAGCATCAACTAACTGTTTGCAAAGTATATTGTATCATGTGAAATATACTTTATATTATATCATTACATTACTATTTAAAAAGGGCTTTTGGTTGGATGTTTCCTTTAGTTCTACAAATTTCACCTGTTTTACATATTGTAGCGATCTTTAATGAACCCGGCCTTACCTCTCAAAACGTTTTGACAGTTTATCATACGAATTCATGTGCGTGTACTCAAATTCATTGGAGTTATTTTCCACAACATTAAATTTTAGTTAGTTTCTATTTCATTTCCCATTTTATGTCCCGTTGATACATCACACTGGGCAATTACGTGACACTAGGTATGCAATATACAGGTACGCGTGCGCGTATTTTAATGAAAAAAACTATTCGTCTTTTATTGCATAACGTTTGGCTGAATATCTTACATTATAACGAAATCTCGAAATAATTATTTAATTACATGCGGTTTCGAACTGACCAGTAGGAATTATGTTTCAATGCGATTGAGGAAAACGTGAGTGAATATTGTGACACTAAAGCAACTTTTAACTGCATTGTCACTTTTGGTATGAAAATGGTAACAGTTCAGAAAAAACAACAGCCTTCTTATGATAATTCTCATTAGTACGTTGTATCTAATTACAGTGTCGGCCTTATTTACAGGTGATTCTACAATACCTGCTCTCGGTCAATTACGATCTACCACACCACGCGTGAATAAACAGTTATGCAGGTGTTGCTGTGGGCAAATACCTAGCCTGAAAATGTTTATTTGTTTTAGGATACATGTTTTACAAATGTTCGTTGATATGTGGATATATTAAGCACAAAGACAAAAAAATGTTTATGAAAGATGAATTAGTGCCTTGATATATTCATCGAGATGTGTATCATCGTTTAATGGGGTCATTCAATAAACGTATGTTTGGAGGAGATATCAAAGGAGCCGCCCAATATACACAGTGTCGTCCGGTGAACTACCACCCCACCCTGTCCATTAGAGTTATGTAATCGGTACACAAATATATTTGATGCGGTGTCAGTGCGGAAGGAGTTTGAATTACGTCCGCCACTTGCCACAGAAATCATCAAAGTATAGAAACAATAAACAAGGTCAATCCGTACTAATTACCTAGTGACGCACGCAACAACGACTGTCAATAGGGAAAATGGTGAAAACAAATTGAAATAGATTTTAATAAAACATTATTGTACTAAATAACTCGCAAAAGCGGTGCCTAAAATTGTTTGACCGTGTTATGTGTGTTGTAAACTGACGAACAGCAAGTAATTGTCATGCTGTACGCATGGTTCCGTATACAAATTCAGTTATACAACCGGTATGAAACTGAGAACTTAGATACCAAGTACAACCTGCATTCACACACGGAAGCAATATACTTGTGTGTATGCCCTCTCCTCTAAAAAATGTATCACTGAAGTATTTGCATTGTAATAAATATAGTAATGATAAAACTTGGTAATTTGGTAGGTCTCCGACAGATATGATTTTCAGTTTTTTTACACCTTTGATTGATACGGATTACGTACCTGTAGTCTAGTCACTGTATCTAATGTATCTGCTTGTTAGAAATTTCAAATGTCTTGTTATAGCACTGTTCCTAAAATACGGCAGTTTCTTTTATCGGGTATAAATAGTTGATTCTTCTTGTCACGCAGTCATTTTTACTTGATCGAATGATTTCCACAAAAACATTACGGCAGAGAGTTTTGTATTTTATTATATTTTTAGAAGATTTTAGAAGATGCTTACATCACTGTATCTCAGAACGTAAAACTGATAACATTCAAACATGTAATTAGTACACAGTTAATTGTAACATATAATTTCCTGCATATTCCTTTTTGAACAAAAAGCCTACATGTATACTGATATCGGTGTCCACTGTTAAAAGGGTATTAGTGCAGTCAGCCATGGTAAATGGAGAGACAATAATAAGGTGATTAATTATAGTCTGTTGCAGAATATGCGGTATAAGTGTAGTCATGGATACATATACACATTACACATATACAGATGAAAAACACGATATGATGCAGTGCAAGAACAAATTAAGATACGGTTTCTATTAAAAATATTTATACGATTTTGGATTTAATTAGCACGTTTAAATTTTCAGGCCAACACGGCTGAGATACAGCATCGGCATACTCAACTGGAGTTGTTTTCTGCCGGTCGTAAGTTCATTGTTTGACTGAGCACACTCGTGTCGGGGTTGCGATATTTTCTTCTCTTTGTTGGCAGCCTGCCACCGGTCTGAATTTTGAGAAAGGTCTCAGCATGGGACTGTTAATTACTTCTTAATGATGTCTACAAGCTTACAAACTTGTAGATGTTGGGTGCGGTTAGGACCAAACTTTTTCAGCTCAGAGTGTTAGTGGTCCTGGAACCCATAGTGTCAAACAGGTTCTGCACAAAACGTCCATCAGATTCTACTGTTCAGCAACATTGTCACTGAATTTCAGAACTCTGGCGTGATATAATAATCAAGGATTTCGAAGGTGAACGAGGGGAAAGGCAGACGCACGTGGATTTACCCTCAGGTTATTATTGTCTGGAGTTCACATTTTGGGGCATTTCATATACTAATTGAACAGAGTTCACCTGCACATGTCCACTTTAGTGATACAGACTGTAACCAAAAATGCAATGAGCCGTAGCTCTTAATCCCTTATAACAACGGTAACAACAACCAGGGTGAGGACACAGTAAGGTTAAACCGTGTCCAACAGACAATCTGAGGTGGCTATCTCCCATCAAGTCAGCTCTGTTTTTAAGCGCATAGTTATGTTTTTACATATTGAAATAAGAGGAATTTAAAAATTATATTTAACAAACCTACACATTACCAAATACAAAACTTTACAACCCTTTCTAGACTTCGTTCCAATTAACCTGGATCATTCAACTCGCTCGCGAAGGTCGTATGCGACTTTAAAGTGAATACGTCTACAGTGTACAAGTAACTTTTAACTGTATCATATATACTCATGATAAGCAATTATTTTCGTTCCTAATTCGAATGAGCACATTCTGAGGCTA